GCTTTCTTTCATTCTGTCTCAAGATTTAGCTAGATCTCAACATTGCATTGGCTATTTTTTAGTCATTTTCAACCTGTTACAATTCTTTTGTTATTTATAATCTTTATGCTTATGAAGATTATTAATATGTTATTTTGGAGAATGTCTCCTCAATTTCAGTTTGTCTAGTGTTTTCTCACAATTGAGGTTATGCATTTTTGGCTGAAATATCATAGAAATCCTGTTATGTCTTCTCAAGAGGTTCATAACATTGATACTCTTCTTCCTGGGTGTTTTTTGTTTTTTTTTTTGAGATGGAGTTTTGCACTTGTTGCCCAGGCAGCCTCTGCCTGCTGAGTTCATGCGATTCTCCTCCCTCAGCTTTCCAAGTAGCTGGGATTACAGGCATGTGCCACCACGCCCAGCTAATTATTTTTTTTAGTAGAGACGGGATTTCTCCACGTTGGTGAGGCTAGTCTCAAACTCCTGATCAGGTGATTTGCCTGCCTTGGCCTCCCAAAGTGCTGGTATTACAGGTGTGAGCCACCATGCCCGGCCTCTTCCTGAGTTTTAAATAAATGAAACTTCATAGATAAAGTGAAAAGTCTGTTTAAACCCCTTGTTTCCATTTCCAACCAGTTCTCTCTCCCGCTTCTGTTCACTCTTTACCTGCTCCAATCTGACACCTGTTTTCTCACTCTGAAACTGTTCTTGTTTTTGTCACCAACAGCTTCCGTATTGCCAAATCTGATGGCCACTCAGCAGCACTGTTAGGGAATGCCACTCTCCTTCCTGGCAGTGGCGCCTGCCTCACCTCACCTCGTGGCCCCTCTTCTTGCTGCCTGAACTTAAACCAGTTTTTCAAGCTGTAGTTTGTGAACCTCTAGTGGGGCATGAAATGTTAGCACGTTGATTGCTTTTTAAAATGAAATAGAGTAGAAAATATTAGTAAGTGTTGCCTAGTTGTGAGAGTGAGAATTGCTGTGGATAATGTTTGTTTTGAGGGTATATGTGAGGTACCCTGTAGAAAGCTTTTTTACTGTGGCGACAGTCAGTTTGAAAGCCACTGCTGTCAGTGTTGGGCGTTCTAAGGCCTATGCTGGTTCCACCTCTTCTGTCCTCGGGATCGAACCCAGTTTGTGAGCTGTAAATGTCATCAACATGTTGAGGACTTCCGAATTTGTGTCTTTGGCCCAGTCCTTTCTGTAAGCCCCAGCCCACCTGGCAATCTCACGCTGTTCTCTTCTTTTTCCTCCATTGCCCTGTTACAGTGAGACAGGTCTCTCAGTTCCTTGAAGGCGTCACTTGTTCCTCCCTCAGGGCCTTGTGCTCCCTCCTGTGGGGCTACCGTGGCTCCTCACACCTCAGGTCTCAGGTCAGTTCAGTGTGGCCTCCTTAGAAATAACCACCCTGCCACACCAGTCACGCTTGTTACCTTCATGGGGTGAGCCCAGTCCATAGCTGCATGTACTTGCTGTCTTTTCTCTCCCTCTCTCTCTCTCTCTCTCTCTCTCTCTTCATCCCTCCCTCTCTGTCATGTAACCCCCATTGTGGGCAGAGGTCTTTTTTTTTTTTTTTTTTGAGACGGAGTTTCGCTCTTGTTACCCAGGCTGGAGTGCAATGGCGCGGTCTCGGCTCACCGCAACCTCCGCCTCCTGGGTTCAGGCAATTCTCCTGCCTCAGCCTCCTGAGTAGCTGGGATTACAGGCACATGCCACCATACCCAGCTGATTTTTTGTATTTTTAGTAGAGACGGGGTTTCACTATGTTGACCAGGATGGTCTCGATCTCTTGACCTCGTGATCCACCCGCCTCAGCCTCCCAAAGTGCTGGGATTACAGGCGTGAGCCACCGCGCCCGGCCCGTGGGCAGAGGTCTTATGTGTCTTGTTCTTTGTTGGTTCCCTGGTGCTTAGCACAGTGCCAGGACATAGTAGACATTCAGTAAGTATGTTTTGGGCAAATGTGTGAATGAGTCTTTATTTCTCAAGCCCAAGTAAATTGTTTCAAGTTGAGATATGGATCTTCTCCTCTGAAAAGGTAGGACCAGCTTTCCCTCCACTGTCACTGACTGTGGCTAAACCAGTGCGTGGTACAGGAGAAAACCCAGCCATGTCTGTCCAATCCCACTTTCTATCATGCTCACTTTCAGCAGCAATCAGAAAGGTATCTGAAGACTTAGTGATGACAAGAAGATTACTAGTAGTTGGTGCACTCATTCTGGGATTCCCTGCTGTCCTTAACCTGTCGTTTTTCTTTTTTTTTTTTTGAGACGGAGTTTCACTCATGTTACCCAGGCTGGAGTGCGATGGCGCGATCTCGGCTCACCGCAACCTCCACCTCCTGGGTTCAGGCAATTCTCCTGCCTCAGCCTTCTGAGTAGCTGGGATTACAGGCAAGCACCACCATGCCCAGCTAATTTTTTGTATTTTTAGTAGAGACGGGGTTTCACCATGTTGACCAGGATGGTCTCGATCTCTTGACCTCATGATCCACCCGCCTCGGCCTCCCAAAGTGCTGGGATTACAGGCTTGAGCCACCGCGCCCGGCACCTGTCGTTTTTCTTGCTTGTGCCTTGGTGTTCCCTTTTTCTTCCTCTCCAGATTCTTCTCTCCATACACCATCTCCCCCCTTCTTCCTACTGTGAATAAATACTGAACTACAGTATTGCGTAAGAATAAAGGTGTTTTTGTTTACAATGTTTAGGGCAATGCTAAAGAGAATTGGAAAGTTTTTATGTCTCTTTCCCTCTTTTCTGTGCCCTTTCTGGGAATATTGACTCAGCTGTGGAGACGATTCTGGCTTGTGCTGATGACATGTGTTGACAGTGCCACATGTAAATAAAGTCACCTCCGAGAATCCTTTGTTCCAAGTGGGTGTGATATGCAAAATGCTGAACTTATGAGTCCAGCACCCCTTTGTCCTGCCATGCCCAGCCCCTGTTTACTTTTGTGTTTGACGCTGCACGAGGGTGGTAGGGCACCACAGTCTCCAGAGCAGCAGGGCTGTGCTGCCCCCTGGGGAGCAAGGGAGCATAATGTCTAAGCAGAGACTTGGAGGAGGCTTTGCAGACCCTTGCATAAATGCCCCAGAGAGTTTCTCTGATGTTGGGCTTGGAGTAAGATGGGGCCTGCACCTCTGGACTCTACTATAGGATTAAGTAAGTGGTTGGAAACCTTTTGACTACTAAATAGAGATACTAGATATTTGCTGTCATTTTCTAAGGTTTTAAGAAATAAAACCTGTCTGATATCAAATCCCACCCTAAAATTCATTAGCTTGATAGCTTGATGTTATCTGTCTATTGTCATATATACACAAAACCACAACTTAGGAAAGATTGAGCCTCACAAGGTAACGGTAAGGCCATAATTGTGGGGGTTATACAAATTATGGTTGCAGACGATAATTGTGGGGGATTACCGACAAATCCATTTGCCCCCACAAAACTTAAAACTGACCGAAATACATTTTACTTTAATGTGGTCTGATATCCTTTGAAAGTAGCTTTTCTTTTTTGTTTTCTGCTTAGTAACTCTAGTACTGTATCACTTCCTAATAAGATTGTCTCGATTTCTCCGTTTTTGGTAATGTGAATGTATTAGAGAATATTTCTCTGGGATCATGTTCCTCCACAGCACATTTCTTCACAGGGGGTGAATTAGAATCATCTGAAAGCTTTTTCAAAACAGCCCTGCTGGTGCCTCTTTTTCAGCACTTGGGGGAGGACTAGGAATCTCTTTGCAAAAGCTCTTTTTATTTGTATTTTTTTTGAGATGGAGTCTCACTCTGTCACCCAGGCTGGAGGGCAGTGGTGTGATCTCAGCTCACTGCAACCTCTGCCTCCTGGGTTCAAGCGATTTTTCTGCCTCAGCCTCCCAATTAGCTGAGACTACAGGTGCATGCCACCATGCCTGGCTAATTTTTGTGTTTTTACTAGAGACGGGGTTTTACTATATTGGCCAGGCTGGTCTTGGAACTCCTGACCTCGTGATCCACCTACCTTGGCTTCCCAAAGTGTTGGGATTACAGGCGTGAGCCACTGTGCCTGGCTTTTTTTTTTTTTTTTTTTTTTTTTTTTAAAGAGACTTTGGTGGTGGGGGTGCATCTCACTATGTTTCCCAGGCTGGTCTCTAATTCCTGGCCTCAAGTGATCCTCCTACCCCAGCCTCCCAAAGTGTTGGGATTACAGGCTGAGCCACCGCCTGGCCTGTAAAAGTTCTTTAGGAGATTCAGGTGCACCTCTGGGTACGAATGACTCTTTCACTCCAATTGATGGAAACCCTTATGCTATTTAAGGGGGAAAGGCCAAGGAATGAATTTGCTTTGAGACCAAAGCATGGATTTTGAAGGCAAAATGATGACAGATCTTACGGTAATTATTAGGACGAAGATAGAACAGACAGCATCATGAGATTTTAGCAAGATAACAAACATTAAGTAACAGGAAAAGGCCAGGTGTGCCATCTGAAAATAGAAACCTGAGATGCTCCGTGATCAGCTGCCCTTTGGACTAGAAAGCCATAGACCCTGAACCTAAATCAGTATTTTCAAGCTTGTTGGACCCATGGTCCAATTTATAGACAGAAGGTCCTTTGGATCCTTTGCTGTAACTAGGTGCACTCAACCAAAAACAAATCAACCCTCACCAGAATGGGTGGTATTGCGGCCTTTGGTGAGATGCCAAGGGTGAGACTCCTATATAGGTTGTGAAATAAATAGAAGCAATAAAAGCACTGATGGATATTTTTCTATTTTTGGAACTAGTGACCTAAATTCAACTCAGATTTTAAATCTTATCAGTATAGTTTAGTGCTTGCAAGCATGAATCCTGCAAATGACAAGATCTGTGACTTTGGAACCTCTGTTTCTTCATATTTAAAATGGGGATGCTGATAACAGTAGTGTCCATGTGAAAGAATACTCATGAGGATTAGATGAAACGCTCCTGTGGGAGTGCTTCTTATGCCTGGTGCATGGCAGACACTCAGTAAACACCTGATTTGTTGCCATCTGTTTTAGGGGACCGAGACCATGGTTCTGGAGAGCGTTATGTTTGCCATTCTCGCAGAGCGGTCACTCGGGCCAAAACTCTATGGCATCTTTCCCCAAGGCCGACTGGAACAGTTCATCCCGGTAAGGTTTGTTCATAAATGCTCAGTTGACATATGCCACAGACAGAAGATGGCTTCTTTGTCTCATTGCTGCAAGAACCTGTAATGCTGTGTTTTTACTGTTAACCTGACCTATGTCATTAAACTATGTATCAGAGAAAAGCTGTCTTTCATGAGAAAAGCAACATTTATTTTGTACTTATAACAGAACCTCTTTCTTCCCTGTAAAGTTGTATTCATCTAAATTTGAAATATGTATGGAACGTACCATTTCATCATCCCCTGAGGCTGTGTACCCTGAAACTTTGCCCTTTTCACCTTGTTCCTCTCAACTTCTGTAGTCGTGCTTTATAGAACTTGCTGCTAGGACACCTTGGCCCTGACCATACCTTGCGCTGTCTCTGGCTATAGCCCTGTGGGGCCATGCCTGTTCGGAATCCCATTGCCCTTCCTTGGTTTGTTTTGTGCATTCCCACTGAGTGTCCCTACCTCCCATCTTCCTGTCTCATATGCTGGTCAAATTCCTAGATTTCAAGGCCTTGCTTCAAGACCTTACAGTCTTACTTCCAAGCACTCAGGATTATTTTCCCTTACTTACTGTCCCAAGGCAGTTTTAATGTTGCTGTAACATTTTCCAGTGTAACCATGTCTTAGGGTTACATGTGCATATCTAAAGCATAGTTCCTGTCCTTCTGCCCACCCACCCCTAACTCCATGCCCAGCACAGTGCTTCATGACCAAGTGTTTTCATGAACCCTAAGTGTTGAAGTGTGGCTCTGAGCCCTGGCAATGCTTGTTTGGTTGGCAATGCTGGTCTTTATCAGCCTGCACTCCCTTCCTAGATAGTTAAAATATTCCCTGTTTTAACTGAGCATGAGCTCCTTGAGGACTAGAGTCATAAGCCGCTAGCTTTGCCTGCCCTGATGCATGAGATGTCTTGTCCATGAGAGGCCTGGGCACGTCCAAGGATGTCCTGTACAACTGTGCAGACAGAGCCTAGCACTAGGATGCCTGGCAGAGGGGTGCTTTGCTGTGTATGGCTGGGGACCAGGGGCAGGGGTTTCTTTTGTCTAATCCCACAGCCCAGAAACAGGGAGGCTAGTTGTGCTTTGTCTCCCCAGAAGAGGTATCCTCTTCTAGTTGACAGTGGCGTGGTCCATCTGTGCTAGCATCGTGCTAGGTCCCAGTGCTGAGGGTGTGTTTAGATGAGCGGATGGTGCCTTTACTGCACCAGCTTTTACCTTTAGTCTGCTCCCTGGCACCTGGCTGTTTTTATTTCTGATTTTCTCCGTAAAGACAGTAACATCTGTCAGGCATGAGAAATAAAAGAGATAATAAGTTTTTGAAAGAATTTTGCAAATAATAAAACTTCATATGGTTTCAAGTGGCAATATAGTTGAATCTTAAAAACATAATGCTGAATGATAAAACCAAACTGCAGGAGACTGTAAGTAGTATCATACCACTTTATAAAACCTGACACATTTTAAAAATTGTTTAAGAATATATGCACATGTAGTAAAAGTTCTCTTTTTGGAAAAGGTAAGGGAATTGTGTTAACACAATTCAGAATAATGAAAATATCTTGGGGACAAAAAGAGCAGCCATCAGGACACATAGATCGTAGTATCTGTGGAATTGATTTTGTTCTAGTTCTTAAGTTCTATCTGTGCTCTTTTGTATATATTGTTTATTGATATTAAATTTTTTTTTGAGATGGGAGTCTCATTCTCTTGCCCAGGCTGGAGTGCAGTGGCATAATCATAGCTCACTGCAGCCTCGAACTTCCGGATTCAAGTGATCTTTCTGCCTTAACCTTTCAAGTAGCTAGAACCCCAGGTGCATACCAGCACACCCAGCTTATTTAAGAAATTTTTTTTGGGCCGGGCGCGGTGGCTCAAGCCTGTAATCCCAGCACTTTGGGAGGCCGAGGCGGGTGGATCACGAGGTCAAGAGATCGAGACCATCCTGGTCAACATGGTGAAACCCCGTCTCTACTAAAAATACAAAAAATTAGCTGGGCATCGTGGCGCGTGCCTGTAATCCCAGCTGCTGGGGAGGCTGAGGCAGGAGAATTGCTTGAACCCAGGAGGCGGAGGTTGCGGTGAGCCGAGATCGCGCCATTGCACTCCAGTGTGGGTAACAAGAGCGAAACTCCGTCTCAAAAAAAAAAAAAAAAAAAAAAAGAGAGAAGTAATTTTTTTTGTAGAGATGGGTCTTGCTGTGTTACCCAGGCTGGTCTTGAACTCCTGGCCTCAAGCTCTTCTCCTGCCTCAGCCTCCTACATCACCAGGATTACAGGTGTGAGCTACTGCACCCACCCATAGTGAAGATTTTTTAAAAATTCTATTGTATACTAGATTTGAACCATATGACACTGCCAATCCTTGACTGTTTTTGACCCACAAGCATGGCAGTTTCATTTGATTCAATCTAATACTGTATGTTATTTCTAGGTTTACTTTTTTTTTTCTTTAAGACAGGGTCTTGCTCTGTTGCCCAAGCTGAAGTATAGTGGCCTGATCTCAGCTCACTGCAGCCTCATCCTTCCAGGTTCAAGCGATCCTCTCACCTCAGCCTCTCAAGTAGCTGGGACTACAGGCATGTGCCACCACATTTGACTAATTTTAATATTTGTAGAGACGGGGTCTCCCTATGTTGCCCAGACTGGTCTCAAACTCCTGGGCTCAAGCAGTCCTCCCTCCTTGGCCTCCCAAAGTGCTGGGATTACAGGCATGAACCATCATGCCCAGATTCCAGCTTAGGTTTACTCTTGACTACTGCTTGGGATCAGGTGATTCAGTTTCATTATTCCTGTAGCCATCTTTCAAAGGGCATGTGAGAATAGTAGGGCCACTAGGGATGGTAGGTAGTCTGTTTCTCTTTCTCTTTGTGCCCAGGGAGGAATTTGGAATAAGATTTGTTCACCTTTGAGCATGTTAGCTCCAGATTTTTCTAGTTGCCAATTATTGGCAGTTTTGAAAGCTGAGTGAGCTGCCTTAATAAGTCCCACGTGTCCTGCTGCTGGAAGTGGAGTCCCTGTCCTTATTGCAGCATGGTAATTTGTTTACAATGCTGCGGAGACAGTGCTTTCTGGAGGGAGTTGAATAGAACATTGAGCCCAATGCTTCCAGTGAGCTCTTAGCTCTCAGTAGCAGATATCTGCCACTTGCTGAGCCACACCCTGGGCTGGGTGCTATCCCAGAGATCTTACCCACATTCTCTCCCCCAGCTCTCCTGGCAACTCTGTACGAGACTTCATGTCCTGATGCCCACTTGATAGAACACATAGAGGTATGAGGTAACTTGGACGGCCATGTAGCTTTGAAACGAGAATTAAAGCCACAATTTCAAATGGTGTTTCCCTAAGTTGGGAGCATTCGCTCTTTACCCTGTGCTGTACTGCTTTGCATTTTCACAAAAATCTCTCTCTCGGTTTCTGCAGGGTGGCAGGTTACATGAGGAAACTCTAGAGGTCTCAGTTGTTGTGAGCTCCCAAGAGCCTCCTGTAAAAGGGCAGCCAAACAAGCATGGCCCCGGGCTGATTTAGGGGAAGTACGGGACGCAGAGGCCAGGAGGAAGGCAGTCTTCCTAGAGTCTGTTTTTTTGCCCGGCTTTGCCCTTGATACCTGCTCTGTGCCAGACCAGCTGCTGACACCATCACTGGTAGCAGCTAGAGATGGCCCCCCTGTGCCTGTGACACATCTCCCAGTTAGGACCTGTTCTGGACCCGACATCTCACCTGTAACACATCAGAGTAGAATGTCGCAGCTGTTGGAGGAGCTAGGAGCTGGGCCATGTGATAAACTGCTGAAGACATGGACTTCAGCACTGGGTAGTGAATAGACATTCCGTGTGGCTTTAGAGGGCAGAATAATAGATGATAGGGTAGTTTTTAGTTCAATAAAATTTAAGAAAGGACTTCTCATAGTTAAAAGGGGTTCAGAATGAAATAGATCTTTGGAGGTGGCCTGTTCCTCACTGTAGAAGTGCCGTAGCAATTGCTGGGTCACTGTCTGTGGGGACACAGTGTCCATTCTTAAGGGAATTTGGGGCATTGGGTGAGATTTAAACACACTACAAAAACTGGCTTCTCGTTCCTAAGACTGTGTGATCTCACACTTTGTAGGTTATTTGGGTAAATGTCAGTTTCTAACTCCCTTTTCTATTTCAGAGCCGGCGATTAGATACTGAAGAATTAAGTTTGCCAGATATATCTGCAGAAATTGCTGAGAAAATGGCTACGTTTCATGGTATGAAAATGCCATTCAATAAGGAACCAAAATGGCTTTTTGGCACAATGGAAAAGTAAGTGGTCAAATCACTTGTCCTAACTTAGTTTTACAGTGGTGGCTCCCAGGAGTACCAGAAGTGAGCATTTGTTTGCCACAGTAGTCAGAGGTCTTCCTACTTCACTGAGATGCAGAGTGTCAGCTGATGATACTTGTCTCACAGATAAGTCTTCCTGCATGTAAAAGTCAATTCCTAAACCAGGAAAGAAGACTTATGCAAAAATGCTATTGAATGGGTGAAGAGGCAGAAAGTCGCCTTGCTAGAATGCCATGAGTCCCTAAGACTGCCATGGCAGTCAGAGGGGCATTGTGACCGCGCTAGGATTGAATGTTTAACCAAGGCCCCAAGAACAAGCCTTGGTGAATTATCAGTGATTCTTTGTTCTGGGTTTTTTGTTGTTGTTTATTTTTTAATAGATATCTAAATGAAGTGCTGAGAATTAAATTTACTGGGGAATCCAGAATTCAAAAGCTCCACAAATTCCTCAATTACAATCTGCCTTTGGAACTGGAAAACCTGAGGTGAGTTTTCCTTCTGTTTCCTGACTTTAAATATTCTTAGTTACTAAAACTGTTGTCAGTAAACATTGATTAAGCTTGCCTTATGTCCGGCATTTTACATTGGTTTTACAGGATGAATTTAAACGATGAGTTTTGTCATCTGGAATTATAGTTCTCTGTGAATGCCCACATGTGGCCTTAATCAGTCTGTGCAGGTTCCATAGAGAAGGAAAGTGTTGAAGGAGTGGCTTAGTGGCCAGGGCAGTAGAGTATCTAGCAGGTGGATTTTCTCTGGTGGGGAGAAGGGAGTAAGGGCAGGCTAGGGAGTTTGAGGAAGATCCCTTCGTCTTAAACTTCAGCCTGGCCTTGGCTTTTGTGGGAAATAGTAAGAATCTCGATGCTGATCTCTGAGGCAGGGCCATCATTATTCTCAGAGTGATGCCAGGTGCAGGCCACTCACATCTGTACACTAACGATTATTTATACCTTAATTACTCAGGTATGTGAGTGTCTCCTCTGCTAGGCATGATGATTTGCTGCTAAGGGAAAACAAGTAAACAAACAGAATAATGTCAAATTGTGTTAAATGCTGTGATAGAAACAGATCCAAGTAAGCCCTTAGTCTGCATAGGGGACCTGCTTTGGGTTACTGTTAAAAGAAAGGCTAAGGGGATGCTGTACAAGCCAAGACCAGCAGAGAAAGGGGCTCCAGGAGGGAGCAGCACATACAAAGGGCCTGCAAGGGAAGAGCTGAGGGCCTGTGGGAGTTTCAGATGTGATCTGCTGTGGAGCCGTTGCCACATAATGACACAGTTGTCAGAATTCACATCACAGATCCTACTCTGGAACTACTGCTTTGGAGCAAAAATTGGGTGCTGGCCATGTAGAAAGAGCAGGTCTATGTGCATCTTACTGAGACGCTTGATGAGTAACAGTGAAACCTTCCTTTTCAGATCATTGCTTGAATCTACTCCATCTCCAGTTGTATTTTGTCATAATGACTGTCAAGAAGGTAAGAATTTGCTGTTTTGTTACAGACTAGGTTTGTGTATATAATTAGAAAATAACTGTAATGCCAGTGTGTCTGAAAAATGCCATACTAGCATCAGGAGTGTATTAGTTACATTAAGTTATGATACAACCAGACAATGAGGTTTTGTATTATTTTCAAAAAGTATGAGCCTAGGCACAGTGTCTCATGTCTGTAATATCAGCATTTTGAGAGGCCAAGGTGGGAGGATTGCTTGAGCCCAGGAAGTCTAGACCAGCCTGGGCAACATAGCGAGACCCCATCTCTATACAAAATAAAAAAATTAGCCAGGGATAGTGGTGCGCACCTGTAGTCCCAGCTACTTGGGAAGCTGAGACAGGAATTTGGCTTGAGCCTAGGAGTTCAAGGCTGTAGTATGCTATGATCGCACCACTGCACTGTAGCCTAGGTGTCAGAGCAAGGCCCTGTCTCAAAAAAAAAAAAAAAAATGTGAGAAAACATTCACTAAACTTGGGAATTGGGATAAAGGACCTAAACTTTCCAAGTCGCATACTATCTTTTCAGTGTTTAACTCCTTACAGTAAACATACATTTTTTTTTTAACTTGAAAAAGAATGAAAGAGCAAGATCCACTGTCTACCCCAGTCAGTCCCAGGCCCTTCCTTTCTGCACCACACAGCATAGTGGTACTTATTGCAACAGTTGTAATCCCAACACCTTCTCTCCTAATATCAGTGCACTTTGCTATTAATTACTCAGGCTTCTCTGCTTTGAAAACATGACAATGGGCCGGGCGTGGTGGCTCATGCCCGTAATCCCAGCACTTTGGGAGGCCGAGGTGGGCCCATCACGAGGTCAAGAGATCAAGATCCTCCTGGCCAGCATGGTGAAACCCCGTCTCTACTAAAAATACAAAAAAAAAAATAGCCGAGCATGGTGGCACGTGCCTGTGGTCCCAGCTACTTGGGAGGCTGAGGCGGAAGAATCGCTTAAACCCAGGATGCGGAGGTTGCAGTGAGCCGAGATTGCGCCACTGCACTCCAGCCTGGCGACAGAGCAAGACTCCGTCTCAAAAAAAAAAAAAAAAAAAAAAAAAAAAAAGAAAACATGACAATGATATGTTCCTTACTATAACAAAACTTCATCCCATGCAATTGCACATTGAACAGTCTCATCAGAGGCCCCTACTGTGCAGCTCCTACTGGTGCTGCTGTCATGGCCTCGCTCTTCATTGACCTTGCCTCCCCTAGTCACGGTAGCTCAGGTCCCACCTTGGACCCTTCTTTGCCAGGCTGAGCAGTTTTCTTTTAATCCTGAGAACAGTCTCATGAAGACCTGTCATCTGTAAGCCATTCATTTGAGCCAAAATACCTTTTACTAATTAGCTACTCTCTGCTGGCTAACTCAAGTCAAGGAGGGTGTAGACATTTCATCCACAGCTTTGTGTATTATCCTTGCCCTCTGATGGTGAGGGGGCATAGATATCACCAGAGAGGGGTCTGGAAGAGATCAGCTGCATTGATGATGGCAAAGTGTAGGAGGGATAGAAGAGATAACAGTTGTACATTAGTTTTGTTCTGCTGCTTTGGGTTTCTGCCTCCAATTTGTCTTTTTTTTTTTTTTTTTTTTTTTTTTTTTTTTTTTTTTTTTTTTTTT